TCCTTACATCACTCTCTCCTTACACCCACTCTCCTTACACCACCTCTCTCCTGACACCACCTCTCCCTTACACCACCTCTCTCTCCCATGTACACCACCACTCTCCTCTACATCACCTCTCCCTTACACCTCTCTCTATGATTCACCTTCTCTCTATACTCCACCTTCTTCACTCCACGTTTCATATATTCGCCTTTTCTCCTGTATTCGTTTCTCCATAATTCGCCTCTTATGCCGCCTCTTCACCACCTCTCGCCTACACCACCACTCTCCCTACACCACCACCTCCTTCACACCACTCCTGCTACACCACCTCTCCTACACCACCTCTCTCCTTGCCACCACCTCTCCCCTACATCACCTCTCCTACACCACCTCTCTCCTACACCACCTCTCTCCTTACACCACCACTCCTCCTTACATCACCACTCTCTCACATCACTACTTCCCATAATTCACCTTCTCCTAGCCTCACTCTCTCATCACTCTCCTATATCACCACTTTCCTCACATCACCACTCTCCTATACCTCACCTTCTCTTTACACCACCTCTTCCTTACACCACCTCTCTCTACACTCACCTCTCTCCTTACACTCACACATCTCTCCCCACACCACCTTCCTGCACAATCTTTCACCTCTCTCCTACACCACATCTCTCCCTTACACCACCTCTCCTACACCAACACCTCTCTCTCCTACACCACCTCTCTCCTACACTCACACTTCCTCCTTACACCACCTCTCTCCTACACCACCTCCTATACTTCACTTCTCCCTACATCACCTTCTCCTATACTCCACCTTCTCTCATATGATCACCTCTCCCTTACACTCACCTCTCTCTACATCACTCCTCTCCTACATCACCTCTCCCCTACACTAATTTCTTTTCCTTACACCACATCTCTCTACACCACTCTCTCCTTACATCACCTCTTCCCTACATCACCACTTCTTTCCCTCACCTCTCCTACACCACCTCTCCCTCTACATCATACTCTCCACACCACCCTCCCCTTACACCACCTCTCTCCCCACACCACCTCCTCACCCACACCACCTCTCCTTACATCACTCCCCATACACACCTTCTCCCCACACCACCTCTCCCCACATCACCTTCTCCCTACACCACCTCTCCTTACACTTCATCTCTCTCTCTACATCACCACTTTCCCTTTCCTACACCACCTTCTCCCTATATATCACCACTCTCTCTTACACTACCACTTCCTTGCACTCCTGATACCACCTCTCTCCTCTTACATCACCTCTCTCCTACACCACCTCTTCCTACACCACTCTCCTTACACCACCTCTCTCTTACACCACTCTCTCCTTACACCACCTCTCTCCTTAATACCTCTCTCTTACTCACTCTCTACATCACTACTTTCCTTCACTACCTTCTCTCTATGATAATTTTTCCTTACACTCACCTCTCCCTTACACCACCTCTCCTCATTCCACCTCTCCTCTTACACCACCTCTCTCCATACACCACCTCTCTCCATACACCACCTCTCTCTCTCCCTTACATCACCACCTCTCTACACCACCTCTCTCCTTGCACCCACCTCTCCCTTACACCACCTCTCCTTACACCACCTCTCTTACACCACCTCTCCTTACACCCACTCTCTTTACACCACCTTCTCCTTACACCCACCTCTCTCCTCATCACCACTCTCCCTACACCACCTCTCTCCTTACACCACCTCTCCTACACCACCTCTCCTTACACCACCTCTCCTTACATCACCTCCCCTTACACCCACCTCTCCTACATCACCTCTCCTACACCACCTCTGTCCTTACACCACCTCTCTCCTTACACCACCTCTCTCCTACATCACCACTCTTACACCACCTCTCCCCACCACCACTCTCCTTACATCACTACCTCCCCACACCACCTCTCCCCACAACTCTCCTGACACCACTCTCCTTCCCACTCACTCTCCTACATCACCACTTCCCATAACACCACTCTCCTATATACCTCTCTCTCTCATACCACCTCTCCTACACCAGATATCACCTCCTACATCACCACTCTCTCTACATCACTCTCCTTACACACCACCTCTGTCCTACACCACCTCTCTCCCTACACCACCTCTCCTTACATCACCACTCTCCTTACACCACTTCCCTTACACCACCTCTCCCTTACACCACCACTCTCCCACATCACTACTTCCTTCACAACTTCTCCTCCACACCACCTCCTATACATCAGCACTCCTACACCACCACTTCCTACATCACCACTTCCTACACCACCACTTCCTTACATCACCTCTCCTTACACCACCTCTCCTACACCAGATATCACCTCTCTCCTTACATCACCACCTCCTACATCACCTCTCCCACACCACTCTCCCACACCACCTCTCCCCACCCACCTCCTTAGATCACCTCTCCCCACACCACCTTTTCCTTTCATCACCACCTCCTCACACCACCTCTCCCCACATCACCTCTCCCCAACCACCTCTCTCCCACATCACTACTCTCCTTACACCACCTCCTCCTACACCACCTCTCCTTAACCACCTCTCCCCACACCACCTCTCTCCCACACCACCTCTCTCTCCACACACCTCTTCCCACACCACCCTCTCTCCTACACCACCTCTCCTTACATCACCTCTCCCCTTACACCACCTCTCTCCACACCACCTTCCCTTACACCACCACCTCCCACAACCACCTCTCCCTTACACCCACCTCTCCCTTACACCCCTCTCCCCTACACCACCTTCTCCTATACCACCTCTCTCTACACCACCCTCTTCTCTATAATCACTTTCTCCCATACTCCACCTCTCCCTACACCACCTCTCTCCTTACACCACCTCTCCCTAACACCACCTCTCCCAACACCACCTCTCCCCTAACACCACTCTCCTAACACCACTCTCCTTACACCACCTCTCCCTACACCTTCTCTCCTTACACCACCTCTCCTTACACCACTCTCTCTCTCATACCACCTCTAACACCACTCTCCTTAACACCACTTTCTCCTTACATTCCTTCTCTCTTACACCACCTTCTCTTTATAATTACTTGGTTTCATGATATTAACACTATGTATATTGTTGTTACTGTAAAGAGTCCATTAAGATAAAAGTTACTTCTAATCTCTATTCATAAGAAGTATACAAAATCCTTTCTTTAGTCAATTTATAAAACAATTCGGTGATTATTTTAAAATGCTCCAGTCATATGCAAAACCTATGATAATTATAATAGATAAGAACAAATTCTACTCCATACATTACTGGTAGTCTATTTCTATAAGCATAACCCAAAAATTATCTGGAGATCTTTTTCATTGTATATAATTTCTTTATTGTTAGTATCAACTAAAACAAAACATATTATCCCCAATTCGCATCATCTTTCGAGGCCTATACCCATCTTCATATCTTATCTGTCTTCATTCAGTTTTAGATTTAATTCATATATGAGTTTTGCCTGGTGGTCAGCACACGCAGCACTTCCACTCAGCCACATCGCTTATCCAATTTTGACCAAAACTTTCAAAATACTTTGTTCTTTTGTAGGTAGTATGACAAAAGTTTGCATGAACAATGAATTTTGATCACGGAGAGGCAGCTGGTATTGGAATATGTCTTCCCTAAACCTTGTTCTCCTTGTAGATTGCTTCACACACCTCTGCCTTCTCATAATGCTTTACATCTTCACAACATTAAATTCTCACGTTAACATCACGTAGGTCATTTTTCAACACCTTCAGTACCGGAAATATTGCAGCTGGTATAGCTTGTAAACTGGGCAGGATGAGGTGTTAGGAGTTGGGGAGTTTGGGTGTAAACCTTATTTAAAACTTTATGGTTACATCCTTTCCCACTCCCATTTTTGGTGGTTTTGGGTGTTGGTGGTGTGTGTTTGGGTTGTGGTGTTGTGGAATAGCTCTGATACTTTTTGAGTTGAACAGTGAACAGTGGGGTTTGTTGTTTTTTTTTTTATTTTTTATATGGGGTCTGTGAAATGATCGTAACTTATTTTAATTCAGTTTATTTTGTTTTTGTTGGTTGGGTACAATGAGCTGCTGTCTGTCTGTATGAGCTACACATGGATTACCTGAGCTGCTGTCTGTCTGTATGAGCCACATGGATTACCTGAGCTGCTGTCTGTCTGTAGGAGCTTCACATGGGAGTACCTGGAGCTGTCTGTCTGTGCTGTATGGGCCACACATGGAGTACAATGAGCTGCTGTCTGTCTGTGTGAGTCACACATGAGTACACGAGCGTTTCTGTCTGTAAGGACACAAGACTCACTCCTGTCCGTGACCTGCACCAAGATACACAAGACTCACCCTGTCCGTGACCTGCACACCAAGACTCACCCTGTCTGTGACCTGCACCAAGATACACAAGACTCACCCTGTCCGTGACCTGCACCAAGATACACAAGACTCACCCTGTCCGTGACCACCAAGATACACAAGACTCACCCTGTCCGTGACTGCTACTCTCACCCTGTCCGTGAAAGATACACAAGACTCACCCTGTCCGTGACCTGCACCAAGATACAAGACTCACCCTGTCCGTGACCTGCACCAAGATACACAAGACTCACCTGTCCGTGACCTGCAAGATACCCTGTCCGTGACCTGCACCACACCCTGTCCACCCTGTCCGTGACCTGCACCAAGATACAAGACCTCACCCTGTCCGTGACCTGCACCAAGATACACAAGACTCACCCTGTCCGTGACCTGCACCAAGATACACAAGACTCACCCTGTCCGTGACCTGCACCAGATACACAAGGCTCACCCTGTCCGTGACCTGCACCAAGATACACAAGACTCACTCCTGTCCGTGACCTGCACCAAGATACACAAGACTCACCCTGTCCGTGACCTGCACCAAGATACACAGACTCACCCTGTCCGTGACCTGCACCAAGATACTCACCCTGTCCGTGACCTGCACCAAGATACACAAGACTCACCCTGTCCGTGACCTGCACCAAGATACACAAGACTCACCCTGTCCGTGACCTGCACCAAGATACACAAGGCTCACCCTGTCCGTGACCTGCACCAAGATACACAAGACTCACCCTGTCCGTGACCTGCACCAAGATACACAAGACTCACCCTGTCCGTGACCTGCACCAAGATACACAAGGCTCACCCTGTCCGTGACCTGCACCAAGATACACAAGACTCACCCTGTCCGTGACCTGCACCAAGATACACAAGACTCACCCTGTCCGTGACCTGCACCAAGATACACAAGGCTCACCCTGTCCGTGACCTGCACCAAGATACACAAGACTCACCCTGTCCGTGACCTGCACCAAGATACACAAGACTCACCCTGTCTGTGACCTGCACCATGAAGCGGAAGCCCTGACGCTGTGCCTGGTCTTCGTAGTCGAGCGTCTTGATGGCGACAAGATGACCCGCGGTTCCTTCCGTCCTCATCCCAAAGTGTTGCCACCCCCAGCCGCTGGCCTCAACCACCTGCAACACACAACACACTACCACCATTAACTACCACCATCAGCTTACACACTACCACTACCATCTTACACTGCACTACTACCATCAACTTGCACACTACCACCATTAACTTACACTGCTCTACCACCATCAACTTTCAGTACACTGCTCTACCACCATCAACTTACACTGCACTACCACCATCAACTTATGCACTACCACCATAAACTTACACTGCACTACCACCATCAACTTACACTGTACTACCACCATCAACTTACACTGCACTACCACCATCAACTTGCACACTACCAACATCAACTTAAACTGCACTACCACCACCAACTTGCACACTACCACCATCAACTTACACTGCACTACCACCACCAACTTGCACACACTAACACCATCAATCCACCTCGCACTACCACCATCAACTGCACACTACCACCTGTACTTCAACTTGCACACTACCACCATCAACTTACACTGCACTACCACCATCAACTTGTACACTACCATCATCAACTTGCACACTACCACCTGAATAACTTGCACTGCACCTTTACCATCATCAACTTGCAATTAACTACCACCATCAACTCTGTACACTACCATCATCAACTTACACTGCACTACCACATCAACTTGTACACTACCATCATCAACTTGCACTGCACTACCATCATCAACTTGCACACTACCACCATCAACTTGTACACCACCACCATCAACTTACACTGCACTACTCACCATCAACTTGGTACACCACCACCATCAACTTGCACACTACCACCATCACACTGCACTACCACCATCAACTTGCACACTACCACCATCAACTTGCACCACTACCACCATCAACTTATACCACACTACCATCATCAACTTGCACACTACCACCATCAACTTGCACTGCACTACCACCATCAACTTGCACACTACCACCATCAACTTGCACACTACCACCATCAACTTGCACTGCACTACCACCATCAACTTGCACACTACCACCATCAACTTACACTGCACTACCACCATCAACTTGCACACTACCACCATCAACTTGCACACTACCACCATCAACTTACACTGCACTACCACCATCAACTATTGGTCATCATCTCTCCCCTAGGTTCCTGGATAATAATTTTGGAGCAATTATTATGAGTCGTTACTGTTATGTATGTTGATCAAATGTTATCTATGAGATGAATCAGACAACTAATCAGCATATTTATTGATGTACTACACCTGCCGGATGTTGCTAAATTAATGTACACTGTACAGTTGCCAGCAAAAGTTCTCGGGCTGTGGGAAAACTTTTGCTGGTAACTGTACATGCAGTATATGATGCGGGGGGAACAGGTCAACAATGCAGATGTAACGGTATTGGAATGAATGATTTTACGGCAACTATCAACATCAAATTAATTATATAAACGATAAATAAGACATTTAAACGTATTTACTAATCTGATTGGGGGAAAATTAAGGACCAACTATTTATGAACATCATAGCGACTCGTAATAGTCAGCTAATACTTCAGGTAAATAACCAGAATCATCAGAAAAATCTAATAATGAGTTAGAACTTAATTACACGCCAGGTGAATCTGTAATTATTGGTTCCACGACTGATAATGAGACTAGAAATTCATTGTGGGACCACAAACTACAGTATATAGAATTACTGTTGCACGGGGTAATATATGAGTGTGACCATAGATGTGAAAGACAATAAATTTTGTCATGAATTAAATATTTTATTGAAAACTCGTCAAACAAGCAGAGGACTAAATGATTGGTATAAATTGGAAGAAATTTATAGTAGTTGTGGGCGCCCTAGCTCGTGGCCCAACAATCAGCAGTATACTGTATATGGGAGTAAACAATCTGTCAAAGGGACCTTGTGCGTTGTGGAAATATGAGTAATGTAAGATCAAAGGAGTTACGATTTCTAATTATACACAACTAATTAATCAATTAATGTGTTATTCTCAAGTGTGAGGGTTGACTACCTCGGCTAGCCTCTTCAAACGTGCTCGGGTTCCTCTCTGGTTCTTCTCCCATATTTTTAATTTCTCCAGGGACCCAGCTATCCATCTGCCTCCCCCTCACCCATTAATATCTCTATCATCCTTAGCTACTGTATATGACCAAATAAATTAATTTTTCTTGCTTTGTAAATATCTAAAAAAAATAATTCTCGGTGCTTTTGCTAGTCTTGGCGCGTCTTTAGTTTTTTTTTCATTCACTGTAACTTTTCTTTAACATTCTCCTCTTGTAACGGCACATATGAGAGGCCTTTAAACTCCTTCTGGTGCCTACTGGATGTAAACAGTGGTATCAGTGAAGTAATGCTGTAAGGTTATCTACAGAAAGAGAATATGACAGATGACCGTATCACACCATCCTCTCAGTTAAACTTTAAACAAATCCCAATAGTTGTCGCACATCTGAGAGGACCCCCACTGTCTCCAATAATTAATCAGAGAAATGTGGATCTACACGTGAAATGAATAACCATTATAAACTGTTTATATTCCCATAACTGATTAAAATTTGACGTGAGTAAATTAGCTCGTGTGCCGACAAGAACAGTGATGTGCTAAAGAATTTCAGATTATTTTCATGTGATGGAAAAAGTAAAAGGTAAAATGGATTGATGATGAACACCGTGGAATTTTTTTAATTACTAAATTAAAAGGTGAAAAACATTAACAGATTAATTAAGAATTATCAGGAAGAGAATACACAAATGTCGAATAATTAAATCATCATTTTCAGGCTTAATTAATTTTTGCCAATTATGATTTTTACAATAATAAAAGTACATACCGCCCTTTCTCTGTAATTGGTTTAATATTTCGTGAGTGTCACACAAATACCTATTGATATCCTTTATGTAAATAATTATGTGTATTTCCTGTCGGTGAATATGATGTTTATAATATAGCTTTGAATAATTTCATGTTTTCTTGTCGTACTTCCTAAGGTTTAAATTAAGTTTCTAAATTACAATGCTTAAAAAAATACTTAGTAGTGTTGGTTCTAGGTTACCCATTTAGTTACATGTTTCATTTCTAAATGTAGAAATTTGGCATCCATCCCCGTACCCGCCTTTCCTTGGCCTTTCACCTTCAATTTATTTTTTTTTCTAATCTCAGTACTTCTTTTGTTTCCTTGTCAGTATAAGATATCATTGGTGTTCGCTTGTTACACTACGTTTCCAAGGCTTCAGCCGTTTCCTATTATCTGCTAAATGTCTCCTCACTTGTGATCCAAACACAAATACTAACCATTACAATGCATTTCAGCAACATTTCTATCAAATTAGAATTAATGTCCCTTTTCACCATTGATTTTCGTGATTTTTCTCCAAATTCTTATTCTACAATGATGGATTGGTCCAGTGGTTCCTCGTAGTTCGTTCAGGAGGATGTTGGTATCACTAAAAATGGTATTCTTGTGAGTACAATGGAGAAGAGCCGACATAATATCCGCCAATTCTTGGTTTGCCTCGGCCACACTTAATATATACATTCCTTTCGTCCTGAGTGACTAAATCCGCTTTTCCAGTGTTGGTTCAGTTTATTCTTGCCGAACTTTGCTTTTCTGCTTTGTGAACTCGTTATACTTCTCCGGGTTCCTTGTTTCAATGTATTTCTGTCAGCATCTGGAGTGGAGTGTCTCTTCGTCTACCAGAGTACATGTACTTCGTTTCCTGATCATTCCTATTGTTATTATCTTACTTAGCATGAAATGCTCTCAGTTTGGGTTGCAGGAACACAGAGTTCTCTCATAATTTTTTATCGTTGTTCAAGTATTGTATAACTAATCTTGCTAAGCGCTTAAAGACACTCGTTATTGAAGGGCATTAATAACATTTTAACAACAACTTTCAGGATTTCGTATTGTCATGTAGTCAAACTATTTAACCAAGCATATTAAAAAACTCTGGGTTATTATATTTACAATGACAATTTAACTGTTCTTTTTTTTCTCCACCCACAATATTCCCTTCTTTTCTTCTCTGTTCGACACTGTTTCAGCGTGCGGAATTTCCAACACAAAATTCAGAAAATGCACTTCCACAGGTCAACTCTCGACTTTCTACTTCCGATATTATTATTTTCCTATCTAAATTACTCAACTAGTTTTAAAGTCATAACGTTAGGTCCATTTGCACTATAGTTAAATATAACAGTAGCGTTAATTATGTTCACTGATAACATAGTCAATAAAAAATGTAGCTGCTGGTAAAGACGTATTATGCCAACAAAAGAGAGAGTTGAAGTGTGATACTGACCCGATAAAAGAAGTAGTTGGAGGTATCGTGGTCGGTGGTAGAGATCTGGAGGAGCGTGTGGTTGGTAGGAGCTCCGTCGCCCCATGTTTCGTCCACCTCCACCTGCCATAGGTCACGAGTCAGCCGAGGAGAGTTGTCGTTCACGTCTGCCAGCCGCACCACCACCGTTCCCGTACCTATACAATGTGCACATACAAATAAAATATCTTCATTAACATAAAGGTGACTTCCTTTAAATTGGTATAACAAGTCTGCACAATAAATGAATCTGTTTCTAAAATTAATCTGAGTCATCTCTGTTTGAAGCAGTTTTCATTTTCAGATTTTCCAGGATCATTTTACCTGCACTGAATAAGTTACAATCAAGTAATGTCATGTATGTTGTCAAACTTGGGAGTTGAACATAAAGCTCACACTTTGATAAGATTTCCTTGTGTGACGCCACCTGGACTAAGCCAAGTTTTCTAACCGTTGTTGTGTGTGATTAATTCATCTCGCTGAAGCTCAAACTGCTCGAGTTTACTCTCCTTAAGTTGCGGTATATATTTATACACAAAAATCACAGAAGACACGTGGTTCACATGTAAGTCACCAGGAGGATACAGAGACACGAAGGTGCTTGGGGCTTTTCCTTGTGGTAACCTCCACATGTCAAGGACTTGTGACTTACACCTCACCCCAGTAACCATTTATCACTCAAACATACATTTGACAACGAAATTGTACTCATGACCTTATTTTCCAGCTCCTTCAATAATTTCCTAATCACTGTTTATTTATTTCCTTCCTAGATCTAATTTTTCTCGAATTGAAAATAATTTCTATGAGTCCAGTTTTGGTTTGATAGTTTAGGCACCTTACTTATCTCACCTTTACTTAAAACCTTTCTTCCATTTGTGGACCGACCACATCGCCCCTTACTCTACGTCTCTCAAGAGACTACAATTCATTACCTCAGAATAACTCCATTATGAAAATTCGCAATATAATATTCAATACATTTTGTTACATAAATAAATACATTTGTTTTAAGCTTTACTCACAATATCCCCTAAATATATTTTTTGTATTAAGCCTATAGCTACCTCAACTTTTTTTCCCAGCCATAGAAAAAACTTAAAATTTTTCCATATTACAAAATATTTGTCATTTTTTCCATTAGTGTTCCGTTTCCTCTTGAAAAACTGTAGTCAGTTTGCTCTTTTTTCAGCATTTCTTCTAAACTATAGCATAGAATGGATATAAATTCACTAGAGTCGGTGCAGCGAAGAATGACAAAAATGATTCCGGGACTTAGAAACCTTCCATATCAGGATAGGTTAAAGAAACTTAACTTGCATTCCCTAGAAAGACGAAGAGTGCGGGGAGATATGATAGAAGTATTTAAGTGGGTGAAAGGAATCAATAAAGGGGATATAGATAAAGTTCTTATAATATCCGAGCAGGATAGGACTCGGAGCAACGGATTCAAGTTGGATAAGTTTAGGTTTAGGAGGGAGATAGGAAGAAACTGGTTCACAAATAGGGTGGTGGACGAGTGGAACAAGCTTAGCAACTTTGTAGTAAGTGCGGGAACTCTGGAAAGTTTCAAAAGGAGGCTAGATAGATTCATGGATGATAGAGAGTGGTAGTAACTCTCGGCAGGAGCTGCCATGCACAGGCCAACCGGCCTATTACAGACTCCTTATTTTCTTATGTACTCCAGTGCTTGTGTACAACTATTGATTCTGTCTTTAGTGTTGGAAGGAATAGAAGTGTCATCCTTGACCATTGCGTCTCATTAACCCCAATCACAGGTGCTAGCTTTCCACGGTCACGGAAAATACTTTTATTAATTGTGTTTGTGCTGGTTCGGTATTCTCTCTGAGGGGCGCTTCCACTGCATTACCATCCACTATAACTAAAAAAACCAACCCAATAACTAAGTGAGATTATTCCGACCGGTTGTATATATATATATATATATATATATATATATATATATATATATATATATATATATATATATATATATATATATATATATATATATATATATATATATATATATATGTGTGTTGGCGAGAATAATTTACAACGAGAAGCCATTGTTCTCATCAATTGATTGGAAACATTGTGAAAAGTCATGGACTTAGTAGGACAAACGTCGTACAGTGATCCAGTTACACACACACACACACACACACACACACACACACTTGACCATAACCCCTGAAGAGCTGACATACCCTACCATGACCCCAAGAGAACTGGCACTGTTTAATGGACCCCAGGTAGACCATTAAGACCTCTAAATAACTACCAGAACCTCCTCTTACCCGATGGGAGAACTAACACGACGAAAACCATTACCATTAGAGAAAGAACATATCTTACCATGACTGCTGGACAACAAACACACTGCCATGACCCCTGGACCACTAAATCACCCCACCTAAATATTTGGAAAGACCTTATCAGGACTCCTAGACTACTAACACACCCCAGGTTGAACTTATACACAGCTGACACACCCGTCATGACACCACCATTCACCCTTGAGACTTTTCACTGTGGGAGATGGAGTTATCGTTGATGCTATTATGTTATTACTGCAGGTCGACTACTAAGCGGTAACGAGGTTAAATATTAAACTAGTCCATCAACACTTACCCTTGAGGCCGCCTCCATCCACCGCCACCACCTGGATGTGGTACTCGGGCGTGGTCTCGCGGTCGAGGCAGCAGATGGCAGTACGGACGAGGCCGGTCTCGGGGTTGACAGTAAAGATGGCCTGGCCGGAGCGCTCGTCGATCACATTCTTCTCGATGGAGTATGTGAGGTGGGCGTTGGTGCCCTCCTGCTGGTCGTCTGCGTCCCACGCCGTCACCACGCCCACCGACAGGTCTGGAAGGAGGGACGAGTGTCAATATTTGCACACCATGCACGCCCACCGACAAGTCTAGAAGGATAGGGCGAAGGTTAGAATGTTAGCCAGTTTGATATTACAGAATTTAAAAAGGATTAATCGGGTGCGGCGGATGCTTGGCTACAGCGCTCGCCTCCTGTCCAATGAGTCACTGGTTCGATCCCGGGGCACACCTTGGCCACCCAGCTCTAAACAATACTTGGTTTACAAGTTGGGGTCGAGTGTGGTTTTATTCCTTTACGTAAATATGTTAGCAATAAGAATGAGAAATGAGATTATATTTTAGCACATAAGGGTGAAGATAATACTTAAGTGAAGAAGATAAATATATATGTATTAGTAGTTCAGGGTACAGAGGCAGATGATATAGAAAATACATAGACGCAAGACCTCCAAGTTTGATAAATATTGATTATAGAGATCTGGTGTTGAAAGAGTCAAGTCAATGAAAGATCCTAATTGGAAACAGACACGTCAAGCACTTGAGGTCACGTATGTGAGCAGTGATAACAACTGTTCTAGGTTAAGATGAGAACTCGATTTTATCGTAATGATTATTCTATTATTATTCTAATAATAATTCTTAAACTGCTTATAATTTTCACAGCCATTATAGCAAAAAAAAAATAAACAATTGAAACATCAACCAACAACAAATGACTACGTCATTGCATCTTTCACTGGAGGTAAATATTTTCATAAAACAGCTTAAACCAACATAATAACAATAAAAAGGCTAACTGTACATTCAGCATGACTCTAGTAAAATAATATAATTATCTTTACATTATAATTTATATAAAACCATCGAGTTTATTGAAAATTATTAAATGAAAAGGATGCTTGAGAAGATTTACCCAAGTTAGTCTATGACAAGGGCTCTAATGTTTAAACAAATACAAGACGCTCAAGAAACATGTCATTATATTTTCATCACTATATGAAACGTTTATAGAATGTTATGTCTGTCATGACTTACACAACTGTGTCTAGATTAAGGGATATAACGCTAAAATATCTGGAGTTGGAGACAAGCTTAAGAGCCCAAATGAAATCTTTCATAATACATTACGGTGTCCTGGAAAATATTCACAAGAGAAACGTTGCAATTTTGGCGAGGAAAAAGTCATACTGTAAAGCCACAGCTTCAGTATAGCCTAACAACATTAGGGTTGGCTAAGGTTTAGGTTAATGTTACGTTAGGTTACGTTTAGGTTAGGTTAATTTAGGTTAACTTTAAGCTTAGCTAAATTTTGTTAGGCAAGATTAAGGTTAGGGTGTGTTAAGGATTTTTTCATACTTAAGATTATTCACTTTCACATCATAATATAAATCATAACCTTGAATCAGTGAAAAGTTATCACGTGTAAAATATCTTTGTCATGAACAGACGGACAGGATAACCCACTATATTCCCATAACCATCAGATTGGTGGATAAAATGACACAACAGTTGTGTTCAGACGAAGATCAATACCCCACAGCACAACGAGCGGACGGACGGAGGTCAAACTCAGAACAATATCATAAAAAAATATTAAGTCACATTCCCACTGAGATAAACACATCTACATATCAGTTATATTCAGCCACATAAATAAAAGATTAACAAGAAACATATTTACAAAAGTTCTATAATACAAAGTTTGAAAAGAAAAATCGCCCCTCAAGATAAACAATACAGTCTGGAGTGTCTATTCACCTGACAAACTCATTAAATTACCAGAAGTTTTCACAAATTTTTTTAGAAAAACTATTAAGTTTTTGTGGTTATTTCTCATTCCCCTCCTTTTACTACTACTACCAAGTACGCCAACAAGGCATTACTTGTCAAGAGGGTCACCCTGACAAGTAAAAATTAATACAGTATTAGGAAATTAGTGATAAATACCAGAAATCTACTCGATAATTACAGTAATTACATGGTAATTACTGTTACCACATAAATATTGTCAAGGCATCATCTGAATGTGCCATCATAATCCAGGAACTGCTTTCAATTCGTTGCCGTTCAAAAAAATATAACTTATGTCACGTCTTTGAACAGAAAATAACATAAGTAGTTTGCAAATAACTCCTATGGTGATAAAAATTTGTAACACGAGGCAGGTGGTTGTGTGTGTATATATATATAGGCTATATATATATATATATATATATATATATATATATATATATATATATATATATATATATATATATATATATATATATATATATATATATATATATATATATATATACAACCACCTGCAAGAACAAGAGGATATAGTTACAGACAAGTGGTAGCTGGCATCAATAAATCAACAATTAACATTTTATAATTAATGAACCAGGAAAAAACTTATCAATATTGTCACCCAGCTGTGCTCTGTGTGTGGTGCCGAAATGCACTTCTCAGGATTTGGGAGAATGGCGCGGGGATTTTCCTTTCTAGTTTATTACGTTTTAATGAAAATCAGTCTAAATGGGCTATATTTTAATTAAATATTTATGTATATTTTTTATTTTTATTAGTGATAAAAATATATAAAACCGCCAGTCTTCACATCATTCAAACTAAAGAAACTTTATATTTTTCATCGCTAACCCAATAAAATCTTTCTTCTGAAACGCCGATTTTGAATCACCAAAATTTGCTCCTTTAACCTGCAAATGTTTGTAAGCTTTATGAGTCTTCCTAACTTGTGTAACACGTAACCACACAACCCTGGTGGAAGTAACAGTGGTCATCATACTCATCACTTTATTAGTTTAATGTTGAGGTTTTCAAAGATAAACATCTGTCAGATCCAGGTTGAATGTATTCTTAGGAGATGTTTTAACTGGTGAAGTTGATGGAATGCAGGAAATGGCTGACCTTTTTCAGAAAAGCCTTCCTTTCTCCTCCTCCCCTCCTCTTCCTCTTCGCTACTTCCCTCCTCCTCTTCCTGCTCCACCTCCTCCCTTTTCGCCATCCTGTTTCACATCCTTGTAAAGGTTTCGCTACATTACCCACCTTTGTTCCACATGGTAATATTACCACTGCAAGATGTATTCTTAAGCAAGAAACTTCATAACAAAAATAAACTTTTGAAGACTTTTCGGCGTGTTTAAAGAAGCTTCAAACACGTTCATTTAGCCTTTACCTATATCGTTAACTCCTCTCTCATCTATTTAAGTTAGGAAAGATGCTGTGGACCTCAAAAGAAAAACAATAGTAAATGCCTTATCATACGATAAAATGAATAAAGGTACTAGTTCTAAATAATATATTTACGGAGGCGCCTGCTGATGAATTTCCAAATGAACCCCGCGGTTCTATTGCCACGGTAAGATTGCCCAAATTCTTCGTCGGTTATGTCACATAGTCACACACAAAATCGTTCGGATAATTTTTGAAGTGAGTACATAAAATAACGCAAAACAGCAATTTAATAAACTCCATTTACATCTGCTGCATCAGGTATTGTAAGACGCTGAGAAGGAAAACATTCAAAGGCTGCTATATTAGCTGAATGCTTTTGTCTCGTGATAATTCACTATATCCCCTTCCCTGTTCTTTGACCCTTGTGTATTGTGCTCTCTCTCGCTCGTTACCCTTCTGACTTAATCAACTAATAAGGGATTAACTCTCAGACCTTAACTCATATCCTCCATATCTCAAAGTGGCCAGTGTCTCCTACTCACACCTTCAACTGTACTATCATATATCCTCATTAAGTTCGCCTGTGTCGTCCAGTCGGCGAGTCTGTGACAATGTTTACGTTGGTTCATCATTTCTCTTGATTCTTAAGATAACATGTAAGTTATTTTATTTCTTTACTATAGCAGTTTCTACCTTGGTAATACATATAAGTAAAATGAAAGTCTGACTGTACTATACAATCATTAAAATAATAATTAAATGAGCAGACCTTTCAGGGAATTAATTTTACGCTGCACTTATCACTTTATTTTATCAAGACCCGGTAAATATTTTTACTTTACGTTATCCATCTTCTCAAAAAAAAAAAAAAAAATCTTATTCATAAAACGGTTCACCTGAAGAATTTCCACCCCATTCATCTAAAGATTAACAGACCTAACACAATTTGGAGGTGGGTGTTAGGTTAGGCTAGGTTAGCATTAGGGTGGTAAATATTTAGGTTAAATAAGCTGGGGCTGGAGATATTCAGGTGATCTCATAAAACACAGTTCCCTCGTATATAAATTTCTTGAAAAATTCTGACATACACCACAAACATTTTCTATCAATATATAAAGCAAGAGTAGAGTAGATGTCTAACGCTTGTTTAATAAACACGAAGATGCAAAATAATGTAGCAATTAGACACATATTGAAGATACTTCTGGTTCTGACATAACACAGCTAGGAAGTACCAATTGCATAAATGATTTCAAGAATGCGTAGGATACGAAAACACACAGAATAAAGACGGTTAGGTTAGGTTGAACTCTGTATCCCCATACATAGTACTTTAACATATTCACCCGTAGTTACCCAATTTTCACACTGAACCATGGTAAATTGTGAGACTAGATGTTATGGAGTTTACTTTTGAGCATTAAAACTCTCCAACAGGGGTGTCCAAACTACGGCTCTCATTGAACTTGTATAATCAAGTAGGTATATAGAGCATGTACAGCGATTGTATGGTACGAGATATTTTTATACCGCAATTTGTAAGTGAATCCTTATAACATTACACTAAAAGGGGAAATATGTACACTTAATATTCTTAAGTTCTAAGTTAAAGAAAGTTCACATAAACTATAGTTTGAGAGATGCCTCTGATGTTCAACGGTGATGATAATTATATTTTTAACACCAAAGAGATCCAGAAACACATAAGAACTGAATCAAAATCGAATCTAATTTACAACGAGTCACCAGATTTATAATGATATTAGTTGAAATATGCAAGGAATGTAAACTTGTTCTGGCCAGCTTTATTTTGGCATTAATAAATAATTCACATTTTATTTTTTCAGCTCT